TTTGAGGATTAATATCTGATATGCAAGTCAGTAACGGAATGTAATTCTCAGCCTATAATTGAGACACTGTATTTGAAGCTATAGTTTTCTAAAGTTGAATACATTTTACACGATGTTGGTTGAAACATCTTTCATGCCCTCTCCTCCACGCGCAGAGAAAAAATGACTTGCTCATGAGTAGGTCAAAAATCAAAAAAAGTAAAGTTATGAAACATTATCGTGTTATACATTCTTTGTGATACGTCAGCTGGTTAAAGGTTCCATGGAAAGTTATATCCTAGAGCTGTAAGGGAGACACGTTTTTGTTGGATACATGTAGAAGACCACGTGCCTATGCAAATCTTAAAAGTACTTCATTTATGCCAACATTTGACGTCAAACAATTTAAGTGCAAGAAAACCTTCAAAACCGTTCAACGTATGTTAACGTGAACTTATCTAAATTCGCTTTAAAATCGTAGAAAAATACAGTATCATAATTGTAATTTCTAATAGTTTACCTTTTCTTCTTCTTTGTTACACACAAGTAAATGAGCGGTTTGCAATATGATTCCAATCTTGTTGAATCAACACGGTGTTCATCTTCCGTTTCAGTTGTCAAAATTCCTGATATGTATAGTTGTTGTTTTGAATATTATGGTATTTCTTTACGCAAACTTTCTACAGGCTGACAAAATGAACCTGGACCGGGGCTCCAGTGAGAGCCAGGTGTATGGCGGCTCCTGTGTGAGGGAAACATAAGACCTTGTCTTGTCCGTGAAAACGATTGACAAGGAACACGGTCAGAGCTCGAGTCTGGCAGGGCCCGGCACTAGCCATCCAGTCTTTATTTACATAGGGCCTCCAATGGACTTCGTTAGTTCAAGATTGCGTTTTAGAAGAAACCCTCAACGTTAGATCAAGCTAGGGTAAAATATAAGATTAATGGTACATAAATACCAATATACATGTGCTGATATTATCTTAAATATATCTGTTTTGTTACAGGATTGTACGAAATAAAGTGATCAAGATTGTTAGAAACGGAACCTTACCAAAGAGCCTTACTGAGATGTAAGAACATAATGAATTCTGTTTAGTGTATATAAAGTTTCTCAAAAATGATTGTGTACTCAGAAGAATTCCAAACAAATTATCCAGTATAAAAATTACATTGCAAACGTTGGAAGAAAGCAATTAACATGGAGTTCCTGAACTACTAAGTAACTTAAGAAGAAAGAAAAGGAATTGTCACACAGTTGACCAAATTTCTTGCATTGTCCCTAGCGCTGGGACGTCACTCCCGTTTGAGAGATTTGTTTTTTTTTTTGTTATATTAAGATTCAAAGCAAAATCCAGTTACCCTGTTTCTGAATGTTAATCAGGCCTAAGATATGTAACTTTCTATTTTATTGATGGAATGGTTAACGAAAACAAACAAACAATATGACGTAGCTCACTGGCAAGGCTATCATGCCTAAGTTGGACTACAATCACAACTGTCTTCTGGCGATACGTCTTACCGACGTTCAAGACAAAATTTTTTAGTTTATAGGAATAATCTGGAATTACACATTAGAACTGAAGTTTGGTTATTTCAGCGAACACTTATCGACGACATAGAGTTTGAGTTCGAGTCACTTTGGTATTCTACTTTCCTGTATATATCTTTCATCTACAGCAAAATTTTCAAGTCTCAGCTACAAGACATTGAAGATGAGGCTTTTCACAACTTGACGCAACTTCGAAAANTGGTATTCTACTTTCCTGTATATATCTTTCATCTACAGCAAAATTTTCAAGTCTCAGCTACAAGACATTGAAGATGAGGCTTTTCACAACTTGACGCAACTTCGAAAATTGTAAGTGTATACCTAAACATTTTCCAGTAATTAAAAAAAAAAAAGATTATCACGTGTATTGTTACTCACAAAAAGCTGTTTGTTACCTAACAGGAATCTAGCCATGAACCAGCTAGATGATTTCCCGGACTTGTCTACCAACACAGCTCTGCAAGAACTGTAAGTTAAAATAACAGGCCATGAGTTTTCTTAGTTTGTATTGGTAATAGGACTGAGTGGAGTCTAATACGGTCTGTAATCATATGAGTGATAACAAAATCGGACAACCGCGCAGTGGGAGTCTGATTTGTTTATCACGAGTATGATTACAGACCGAATTGGACGACACGAAATCTTCTTATCAATTAATCATAAAATTTACAATTTCCGAGAAAAGAAGAATAGCCAAGTTATGAAAGAAAGGGAAAATATGCATTAAAAGACTGACAAAGGAGACGTAAATTGTTTAATTTCGCTCTGAAATTGAGATTGCTTGATTTAAACTGCAACTTTGAATGTGACTGGTTGATTTAAACTTCAACTTTGAATGTGATTGCTTGATTTAAATTACAACTTTGAATGTGATTGGCTTACTGAACTGTCCGATAACAAACTGTCCTATAACAACTTGGCAAGTAAGTTAGTGAAAAATAGGAGTTTTTTAAACCAATCACAATCAAGGAAATTGTAATTTGTAATTTTTAGTTAGAGGTTTGGCGCTGATCAAAGATACTGAGTTATGTTATGAGATATCACTTTAAAATGTCTCGGCTAGTGCTCGAACCTTCATCAATTGAAATTGAAAGATTTACAGGTGATTTAAAAAGACAGCACATCAAAAGGTCTCGGCTAGAAGGTTACGTGTAAAATTCCAGAAATATAGCGCGAGGCTGAAGCGTGTACCAAACATATGTGGACCTTCGGGTTGGTGATGAGCTGAGGTTGTTCCAAGACTTTGGGTCTTTTAATTGATAACCAGGCTTCCAAAAAGTGTTACTTGTAAAAGCAAGCCTTCTTTGCAACAATTTTGTCGCTATCAACATCAATTTATTGTTGTTTTCGTCGATAAAGTGATGGCTGAGAATGACATATAGCATGGTCAAGAAGCCGACGCAACCCACACTTTTAAACGAACTATCGAACTCGAAATTTTGGTAACCTGTGAATCAGTTGTTAGACAGGGTTCGTACTCTTTTGGGATTTTGGAATTCCATGACCGGAATTCCATGACTTTCCATGACCTTTTCCATAATCTTTCCGAGTTTTCCATGACCTATGTTAAGCAGTTGGTCTCAAAGTATTGTCAAAACAATCTATTATTTACGGTATTTTCCCACATTATGACGCATAAAATAGTGTTAGTGTTTATTTTTTTACTGGAATTAACTGGTTTTCTGACTGGTCTGTTGTTTTTTCAACTTTTGATTTTTTTTTGTTGTTGTTGCTTTTCCATGACTTTCCATAACCCACACTTCTATTTCAGGACTTTCCAGGCCTGGAAAATGAAATTTTAAAATTCCATGGCTTTCCAGGTTTTCCATGACCTGTACGAACCCTGCTAGAACGAAAACCAATTCTAAAAACCGCGAAAGAAATGCTGCTGAATTTTGATGACAATTCACCAAAAATGACAGCTATTATGATATCACATTGACACATGGACTCTTCTACGTTTTCAGCGATTTATACCAAAACAAGATTAGACTCTGGCGCCACAATTACACGGATCTACCCAAGAATCTGGTTAAAATGTGAGTTGAAGTGCTGCGTTTATTCCTGCATTGAGACTGCAAAATAAAATCATTAACTAATATATTTATTTATTTTGCAGAATTCTTATAGAAAACAAGTTGGACTGGATTCCTGATAGGTGGTTTGATCTACCAAATCTTAAATACATGTAAGGAAAATGTACTTTAAAAAAGGGAAGTCTGTTTTTTGTTGTTGATGTTTTCGTTTTCAGTTTTATTTAATAAATAGAAAACTTTATCGAGTAATAGAAACATAAGTGGAATTTTAAGAGAACGAGAAATGGTGTGGGAACACAAGCTTACAGGCGAGTGTTAACTGACCAATCAGGGCACATATTTTCTTTGCGCTATTTTCTAAATAATGATAATGTTAAACAATAACATCAACATTTTTGTTGTTGTTTCGTTGTTGTTGTTGTTGTTGTTGTTGTTGTTGTTTTTGTTCTCGGGGATCATCTAAATCAGGAAGTGCTGGACTAAATCGGCTTACCGAAAATGTCTCCTAGTGGTTGTCCTCTCCCTCGTTCTTCAGCTGTTTCTGNCGGTAAACTGTTAAAAATTGAAGCCCCTAAAAACGAAAAACTCCGACGGCCAAACTCCAAGTTCATTTTCGGCAGTTCGATCGAGGAAAATCTATTTCTAGCCAGGTGCCACCCATAATTTATTACCTCCATAAAATAATTCCCCTTATTATACACTGGGAAAGACGCATTGTGCGCCAATGGTTTGTGGGTTGAGCGTCGGCCTACGGGAATGGATTCCAGCTAACTACAAAAATCCTACTGGTTTGTGATCTTTGTGCCTTTCTTGGTTAATTGTCGAGGCAACCTGACAACGCACTCGGAGGTAAAGTACGCTGAACTAGCATTTTCAGCCATAAGGAGCAACCTTAACTCTCAGATGAATAAACAACTGGGAACAAATTTAAGCTAACGGCCATGGTGGTTGCACTGGTTGGGGGAATACATTAAAAACATTGTCGTTTTCGCAGTCTATCTGGAACNGACTCTCAGCTGTTACATTTGTAAGTATAGTACCGACCATATTGGTTTATCATGTTTCTTTAATCATTTTATACTGATCGAGATACTGAATTATGTTCTAAATGTTCAATCCAATAAATGAAGGGAGTTAGCCAGGTGCATGCCACCCACAATTTATTACCTCCATAAAATAATTTCCCCTTATTATACACTAAGAAAGACGCATTGTGCGCCAATGGTTGGTGGGTTGAGCGTCGGCCCAGTGGAATGGATTCCAGCTAGCTACAAAAATCTACTGGTTTTTGATCTTTATGCCTCCCTTGGTTAATTGTCGGGCCAACCTGACAACTCGCTGGGAGACGAAGTACGCTGAACTAGCATTTCCAGCCATGAGGAGCAACCTTAACTCCCAGATGAGTAAACAACTGAGACCAAAGTTAAGCTAGCGGCCATGGTGGTTGCACTGGTTGGGGGAATACATTAAAAACATTGTCGTTTTCGCAGTCTATCTGGAGCTACAATTTACAACATCAAAGCAAGTATGAACAGAAGCACTAACGAGTACAGCGTTTATTTCAGGAATTTGAGTAATAATGCCATCAGCAGCATAGCATCGGAGACTTTACAGCATTTGATTCATTTACAAGTCTTGTAAGTTATGTTTATCCGTATAATTTCGAATTTTCATCGTGTTATTCTAAAACTGCGTTGGCCTTCGATAAAGAATAGCCAAAAGTTACCCGTAAGGTCCGTAAGAGAGAATAGGGGTGGAATGTTTTGTTTTCTGTGTTATTGGCTCAGGCCGCCATTCAATGATCTACTAATAACAATTTACTTAAACAAACTGAGTATCGGTATCATCATCGTAGAGGTCATGGGTTCGAATCCCGTTCAGGCCTGTATTTTTTCAGGCTTTAATTTCACAACAGCTTAAGTTGTGTAAATAACTACCATGATGATTCGTGTCTTCATATGTTTTATAATTTCTTTTTAATCAATGTTAAGAGAATAAACAGAAATAGGTTATTTCCAAGTAAACCGTGTGCCTGTGTTCCTCTGTTTCTTGGTGCAAAACTTCTCATATATTAAATGAGTTTGGTTTGCAAGAAAAAGAACCTGCAGAGAGAACACATTTTCATATGTGTGGTTTCGCACGAAGACTGGTTTTTTACACAGAGGCAAAACTCAACTCAGAATGGCCTATACTAATAGCTCCTTTGTTTCCTCGTGCAATATTCCTCATGTAAACAAGTTTCCCTTTTTTTCCCAGGGAATTACATGACAATGCCATTAAATTGATTGGGGCTAAGGTTTTCTACAAGATACCGGAGTTGCTGCATCTGTGAGTTATTTTTCTAATTTTCATAACACGTTTTGACAAAGGTCGTCGTATAGAACTACAAACCTAACTGAAATGAGACGACGGAACTAAATGTTACTTCGCAGTCAACATTTCCACCTCAGAATAGCACCAGATCGTGCAATTTATGTGTTGTTTGTCTGTTTCTATCTTTGTTTGTATATTTGGTAGGTTTGATGTACTCAGGGCATTCTTCAAGGTTTCTTTTCTCTTTTTTATTAGAAAACTAGATTCAGGTTATATACAGTTCCCTTTCGGTTTTGTGTCTCTATTTAGTCCCTTACCAGGTTCTGCGTAGAGAGGCGGAGTGGCCTAATGGTTAGTGCACTTGGACTCCGGAACGTGCGATCCGGGTTCATTGTGTTGTGTTCCTGGGCAATTCACTTTACTATCACAGTGCCTCTCTCTACCCAGGTGTATAAATGGGTACCGGCAAACTTAATGCTGGGGGTAACCTTGCAATGGACTAAAATACTCCTAGTCGCTTCTTGCTACAAAAATCGGGATGAGCTCAGGCTGTACAGGCCACTAGCCTGACGCAGACTTTACNAAATATTTTCCGTCGCAGTTTTGAATTCCCCCTTTTTCTTTTTCCTTTCTGTTGTTGTTGTTGTTGTTTTTTGTTTGTTTGTTTTTTTTTTCTGTTTGTTGGAGAGGACGGAAGCAAAAGTACCAAGACAAGTGTAATTTATAACCTGCTCTCAAAGACTTTTTTAAGATGATTTGTATCAACAATTCAAGAAAATTATATTTTTTTCATAGGTGGCTGAATAATAACGGATTGAGATACTTTCCACATCCTTCTTTGTCCTACGAGTTGAGGACAACATTGAAGTTTCTGTAAGTCGCGTTCAAATGCTTGATTAACTTACGATTATAATTCCAACTTAATCCCGCCTTCCTAAAAGTTCCTCCATGATTTCTGTTGCATTTTCTAATGGAGGAAGAGAGGCATGTTTCTCTTACAATTGCAAAGGAAACTGGGAATTATAATTCTAAACTGGTTATTATTTTTCTAGGCACTTGGAACATAATGAAATTGAATCGTTGCCAAGCTACCACAAAGGCGACTTTCCACCAGAACTAGAAAACCTACACGGGTAAGTTGTCTATATCGGGAACTTCTATTTGAAGGAAGGGGGAGGGTTTATCATCAGAGGGAACTCGTTACGTCCAAGATTTGGTAGCCTGCAATGCAGACGGAAATTTAACCTTGTATATACCGGCAGTATGAAGCGTCAGCAAGCAGGCTTGTATTGGACGCTTTTTTCATGTGTGGTTATTTTCGAAATAAATATTTTGATACTTTCTAATCTTTTGACTTGATTTTAGCCATCTGAAAACGAAACACAAACCGTTTGAGAAGACGCCAAACCTCGTCAAACTGTGAGTACAAAGGATTATTGTCATAGTTCTCATTTCATTGTGTATTTGTTTGGATGCCTAGCTGTGGAAGTTCACAAATCAAGGATAGTATTTCTGCTGGGCGGAACTACTTAGTGACTACTTAGTGTGTGTACCCTTAGAGCTTATCAAACGTACTCAATTGGCTTACAATTTACTTGTAATCTTGTACATCCTTTATTGTATCACATTTTGTTCTTTTTTACATCGTCACTGTTATTTTACAGTTTTTTGCATTCAAATCGAATCTTGGGCATTGGAGAAGAAGACTTGTGGATGCTAAGCAAACTAAATGAGCTGTGAGTAAACTGCGTTTTAGCATTTTAAATTATACGGTGCAAAGTTCCTTATCTATATTGAGTAAAGCATTGCTTGCATCGCTGAATTTCAGTATACCCCTTACAACCTTTTAATGGCCAGCTGACCAGAATCAAAATTCTAATCGCATTTATTTTAAAATTTGCAATGAAAATTTTTTAATCTGGTCAGCTGGGCATTAAAAAGTCATATGACTGGTTTTCAAGAGAGGGGCGGTCGTCGCCGGATCGAGCGGTCCGGGTTCGAGTTCTGGCCAGGGTCATTGCGTTGTGTTCTCGGGCAAGACACTTTACTCTCACAGTACCTCTCTCAACCCAGGTGTGCAAATAGATGGGGGTAGCCCTATGATGCACTAGTATCCCATCCAGGGGAGGTAGAAATACTCCTAGTTTATTACAAATTTTACCTGTTCTTTCAATTTTTTTTTTTCAGTTTCCTCAGCGCAAACAAGCTGGTGAATTCCTCTGTTCACCCGGAGGCGTTTCGAAATCTCACAAAGTTATCTGTGTTGTAAGTAGAAAACTCTCACAATCGATATTATCTTGAATACCGAAATCAAATTTGTACGCTTTTCTTTTTATAGAATGGATATTTTAACGGTAGCGAAACTGTTCTTTATATTGGTAATATTACGAGTCGTATATTTTATCAATTGCAGGCATCTTGACTGGAATAAGTTCCACTATGTTCCTCTCGCGATTCAAGGAAAAAGCCGACTTCCATCAGTGGATAGCTTGTAAGTTTTTTAAAAAGTGTGTCTTTCGGAAAACATATGTTACAGGTCTGAGTAGCACATGCAATAACCCAAAGACTACTTTTTATTTTGTCAGGGACGTGCGTGGAAATAGCTTCACTTACATCTTGAAGGGGACGTTTGCGGGATTGGACAAGCTGAGATATTTGTAAGTGTTATTAATTGAAGTCTCATCACAGCGAGTTTCATTTCACTGGCTATTCTTTGGACTTCTTATCCTCGCACTTCGTATTACTTAACAGCCTGTTTTCTTTCCCACAGGCACATGCAGTACAACAAAATTGTCACGATAGAAAATGGCGCGTTCAATGAGAACATTAAGCACATGTGAGCCATTTCATTGTATGCCTTATATCTCAGTCACGCAAATAAACTTTGGGCAGCGTAGGCCTAGCTCTTCGAGTTTTCTCTTAAAGAGCAAATGCCTTGGTTTTGTTATTTGGTCGTTGAGAAGACAAACCTCAACATCAGCGAAGACCGTGCATAATCTTTTGTTTTACTCTCCTACACCATACATGGTGTATATGTTTCGTGCACGGTCAAGACCAAAAACCGAACAAAAATCATACAACAAAGAATTTTTTTAGGTTTGATAGTCATTCCTTAGGCCTCTATTAACCATGCAATGAAACATCTTATTATGCTACAAAGTGTCATGTTGAGTTACTGTCTTTATAAGAGCCGTTCTCGGTGTCAAGGAGGATGAAAAATCCCCTTCTAGCTTAAAATCTCGTTTGAAAAGTTACATTCTTTTCATTGTTTGTGTAGTTTGGAGTAAGGGCAGCTTTGCTCTAAACCGTACCCTGCATCTAACATCTCCATGATATCTTAAAATTTCAGACACATGCAAGGAAATCGCTTCAACTTTAAACACGAGAATCAATTTACCAACCTGACAAAACTGACAGAGTTGTAAGTACCCACAAAAGACTCTAATAAAACGCGCCACGACGCTTTTCAACTTGCAAAGAAACAATGACTAGATCTAAACCTTTACTAAACCTTGATGGTCATGAACTCGTATTGCTTTCGCTAGATGACAAATTTCATCGGACCGCTTCAGCTAACAGTAAATGGACTTGTTGGACATTATGTGTCCCAGGTTGATCTGTGATCTATTTCAGGCTAGCATCCATTCTTCAATCAAGATAAACCGACTTTACGCTACCTAGATCTAACACAATTACTTACAGAAAGCACTCGTTGCGATACTTGGTCCTAAATGGTGGGGCACCCTCTCCACGAAGATGAGACTTCAGAGCAATCTAAGGCTTTGAAAACGTGAACAAGGTGTGATCTATCGAGCTCTCTAAAAAATAAATGTAAGGGTTTTCCCCTAAGCATAATAATCATTGTTATAGTTCTTGTAGAGTAGCATCATAGTTGGCTTTCATACTATATTATAGTTAGATGTCCCCAGAAGGTGATATGCTTCTATTGAACCCTATTAGCAGATGGTTCCACCTCTGCATGATAATTTTGAGCCATTAATAAAGTTCGTTCATTCATTCATTCATTCATTCATTCATTCATTCATTTATTTTCGACTTAAAATAAACTCTAAAGAATTCCCTCGCAACTTTTTTACTTACCACATTGACTCAACTTTGAATTAATGTTTGGGCCGTAACATCAACCTGTTTACTTGACATTTGACTTTTTTAGGTATGTAGGTGTACATTGGTACTCTACGCCCACTCATTGCTAGTTCTTTTATTGCAGAGGTTTGAGGGATAATCAAATTCGAACAATCCCAGACACGGCCTTCCACGGACTTAAGAGCTTGAATTATCTGTAAGTATCAGGTGCTTAGGGTTACAGGGTCTCTATCACATTTACTCTTTGCACGATATCTTTATTATTGTTTACTTATTTTGTTATATTAAATGAGCGCATCTGTAAATGAGAATGCCAATAAACTTTTGGATTTGTTTTGTTTTGTTTTGTTTTTTCGTCGTCAGTTGCCTCTTTTTTCCATTTTCTGTAGTAGGATTATATAGTAGAAATAACTTATTTTAAAGCTGTTATATGTTTCTTTCTCCTTTTCAGTGACCTTGGCAAAAACAAGATCGGTCGAATCCTAAAGGTGTCGTTTCGTGATCTTGCTAAAGTAGCCACACTGTAAGTACACATATAGACAAACGCTAAGTAACAATGAATTTATTATCCTTCAAATACTTTTCAAAACGCGCGGGATCTTTTGAAAATGGGAGAACTTCACTTGATTATTCCTCGATTTTAGCTGGGTCATATTTAGTCACGTGACGCGTTTTGACTAATCGCGTGCGAGCGAGAATATTTGATGGATTTTTTGTCTTGATGTCGAATGAGGTATATTGAAGAGGTATGGCGTCTGCTTCACTCGTCCACTGTGGAGCTGTAAAGGCGAAGAAAATAACCCAGTTTGTATCACTTCTGAAATTCCGTCGTCCGAATCGCAATTAGTCTCCATCAATTATTGCCATTATCACACGATAAATGAATGACACATTTTATACTGATTTAACTTGCAATAAATGTACTACCTTCTTCTCTAGCGATGGCCCAGTAGTGGGGAGGGTTTTATCCTTGTAAAATAGCTTTGCATGTTATTAATTCGCTGTAGTAATTTATCTAATTTAATATTATCTTTAACCGTCAGGGATTTAGATCAAAATGAAATAGCATTCATTGAAGATGGCACCTTTGCAGGGATTCTTCAATTTGAGCGCTTGTGAGTGTTTGATTGGAATAAGTACAAGTGCCTTTTGATGTTAAACATATGTATATGTTTTGCCAATTAACACTATTGAGTATGTTGGAACTTTGTTCACTTCGTCCAACAGGGACATGCGGCGTGTACTGAAAGTTGTTTTCGCATTTTAAAAGCTGTTGGCGAAGCAATGCAATTCAAGTAACTATCTTCAACAAACTGGTGTGAAGTAATGTTAAAATAAATGCTATGATAGCATACATGTATGTATTATCTCGACAGGAAACTCCAATATAACCATCTGACGTCTCTTCCAAACGGCGGTGACTTCCACAACAAGGAGATGAACCAGATGTGAGTAGTAATATACTTTGTTCGTTCACATGTATCGTCTCCTTACCCAGCAGGGAAAGTCGTTACCCGCTCCTTCTCCAAAGATTTTTGGACAAGTTATAGCAAAACAGTAGTTTGAAGACTGGAAGAAACGCTACTCTATATAACTCAAGAATAAGGAGGCCAAACTATTGTTAACTTCGGAGTAACCCGTAACTAAACTGATCTTTGGATTTCGTGCAAAATAATGCAGTGTAAAGATTATCGTGCAATAAGAAAAATCACTTTATGTACCTATCTAAGAGTTAGGCACGGATTATTTTCCTCAACTTATTTTTGTCTGCTTGCTTCACAGAAACTTTTCAAATAACAGAATAACATCAATCGCTAACGGTACATTTGTAAACGTGCGATGTATCAGCGAGGGATGTCGCACATACGGTAGAGGAACAATATGGTAAGCAATAAAACTGTTTTAAATACTGTTAACTTGAACTTCAGGCAGCAGATTCTCCAATTGCCAGGCGCAAGCACTCCTTAAATGTAAGCCTCGACCAGTTATGTAAGATAAGTGAGGATCAAAATGGGCGATTACTAACAACAACTTCATTTACCAGCAACTTACAAATGACTTGTGGAGCGGTCGCGGTGGCCTCATGGTTAGTGCGCTCGTCTCCGGATCGAGCGGTCCAGGTTCGAGCCCTGGCTGGGACATTGTGTTGTGTTCTTGAGCAAGACACTTTACTCTCACAGTGCCTTTCTCCACCCAGGCGTATAATTGGGTACCGGCGAACTTAATGCTGGGGGTAACCCTGCGATGGACTAGCAGGGAAAATAGAAAATAGGGAATAGCGAATAGGGACTTACTGGAACCGACCAACTGATAATTGCTGACAAAATTTACACTAGTCTTACTGCGAATACCATCAAGGTTAAACCGAGCAATCAGTTTCAACAGGCCAGGCTTATAACACATCAACTGACAAACACTTTTCACTTGATTCTGAAGATGACTTCTGCTCAGGTCTTCGAGACGTCAGCTACAAACATCCTCTTTAGAACTACCTCGCCCAGAAGATCACGCTAAAAGAACAACCTAACATTATTTTGTTTGGTCAAAAGTGTAGTAATTTCATACTTTTTTCAAAGTAATGACGTTGTATATTACAAGCTGTTTGGTACTGATATGGTTAAACAGTAATTTAAAATACTACTTCCTGTCCTTAAATTGTACTCTCGTCCTAACGCCATTATGAACCGCGCGAGGAAGTCATTACATTAGATTCAAAAGACTGTCAATTAATCTTAAGACAGGATTTCTTCTGTTCTAATATAACTATGAAATGCTAATAATTTATCTCTCTAGGAATTTTCATAACAATGAAATCGCGTCAATCGACAGTGGCGCCTTTCAAACATTCGACGGTCCATTTTGCACTCTGTAAGTATGCTCGTCATATATACGCATGCGACCGTAGAAAATAGAGTTGTTCGACTTGAAAGATCGTTTTCCAGGTTCTTCTTGCCTCAGTCTTTAAAATGAGCCTACATGTATGTACGAGACCATTCAAAGTTATCTTTCGTATAAATGAAGGGCTTTGTACCAGATCTTGTTTTAAACACGAAAAGCAGTGGCCTGTGACGTGTTTTGCTGAAATCTTAGCATTAACCAAGCCGGAAAAAATGCAGTTTGTTTCTCTTTCTATTGCACTTTCTCATTCTTTTTGTTGTTGCTCTTTTCATTTAAGTTTATTACAGTCGCACTTCTCTACAACGGCTACCCTCGAGACAGAAAAATCTCCCAACTGGGACGAAAATATGGGCCGCTGTAGAAAGGCGGGCGTTGTGAGGAGGTGGTTGTTAGTAGTTGTTCGACTGCATTATTACTTTTTTTACAAACGGGAATAGCACAACTACCAATCATGGAATTTGCTGACATGCCCTTCCAGCGGTCATTAATCGCCTGCAGCATCGTATACTTATTTCTCTTTCTCCTTGCATCAAGTCAATTTGGAAGCACGGTCGCTGACAAAAACTTGTTGAAGAACATTGGCTCCCGTGCCTTTGACGATGTGAAGGCTTGCTATATGTGAGTATCCCCAAAACAGGTCAGCGTGACCCTTCTATTGTCTATCATAAGCGGTCTTAGAAAAGAAAAGCGTTTGATCATTTTCTTTACGTTTATCCCTTCCAGAGACCTTAGAAACCTGAAACTGCAAAAGATCGCTTCCGAATCGTTCAGGGATGTCAGAGTTAGCTTTGATTTGTGAGTATTATGAGTTGAGGCCTGCGTTTTAACTGCCTTTACCCAACAGAAATCGTCATTATATCGCTACAATGGGCGACAAAAGTAGTTAAGACACTTTTAGAAAATGACGCTCTGAAGCACTCATTCTATTTTATTCGCATCTGGTGTTAATTTTCTGCTACTCCAATTCAGTGTTGTGTAGGCGCTGTGGTCTGTGCAGACTAAGAATTTTACTGCCAAGTGTCTCAACACTTTTTTCGCCCATTGTAGGTTGTCTCTTCCCCAACAGAGCAAGAACCATTACCCTACTTTCAAATCTTTTTCGAGTTATACAGACCAGTGATTGTTAAGTCGTTTGCTTCGACAGAGAAATGACTGACAACAAAATACGAACGATTGAAGAGAATGCATTTCTGAGGATCGACGTAAGGAACTTGTAAGTACCCTGTATTATTGAAAAATCATAGACTCTGCGGTTGTACACCGTTACTGGGCCGACTGAGATGCTACAAGGTTTCGTGACGGGCCCAAAAAGCGTCTAAGTATGAGGCTAGCGCATCAACAGCCTGTCTACGCCTCTTTCTTCCACAAAATATGGAATAAAGTGTTAACTGATTGTTTTTTCTCTACGGTATTGCTTTGAACGCAACATTTGTGTTGAATTCTAATTAAAGCCGTTGAGTTTAAATCTGGCGTACGCGTGCGTTTGACATTTCGTGCACAAAAAGCGATAATTGTTTGACTGAAGTGTTGAATGTTTACATTTTTAATCGTATCAATAACAAAATTCTTGATCGTGATTGGTTCTTCGCGCGCCTATTATATTTGTCAAGTAATCTGGGCACGATCACGTTGGCGTCCAACTACAGGTATCCAATTGGAACTTTTTGTAATAGGCCCATTCGTAGGATCCGGTCACATGTATGGAATTAATTATGCTGGGACACAAGTTACACGGTGGGACTTTCAAAACAAAGGAAAGTCTGGCTGGACTGGTTCGAGTTCCTTTGTTTTGCGAGTCCCACTAGGTAACTTGCCTCCCAGCATGATTAATTCCGTACCATGTTACCGGATCGTGCAAAGGGCCTATTGGATACCTGTAATTGGATACTCACGTGATTAGCACGTCAATTACGCTCGCTTTAATGGCTTCCTTCAAAATGTATCTTACAGTTTTAAAAACTTATGAAAAGCGCTACAGACGAGTTCGCTCAAAAGAAGTTTTCAAAAGACATTTTTAATTCCGAAATTTGTTATAGATACGATTAATTAGTAATTGGACCTCGTGTCGTATACAATTCAGGAGTAATCGTGCTCGTAATTTACTCGCCCGATTACTCCCTGGATTGTACTCCGATTACTATTACAAATTGTTTTACGATGTAACGAAAAGGTTGAAAAGTTAATTGAGAATTTCGGAGCGGTCTGTACTCGGGGTCCGGACCACTAGAGCGCGCGCGATTAGCCAATCAGATCCAAGGATTTAGGATTCCGGACAGCTGAGAAGCTCGAGGAAAAAAAATGTGTGCATTTCTGCACTTCTTACAAGACAGGCTCTATCAGTAGTGTTTGCTAAAACAGACGGTAGCTCAGTATTCATTGAATGATGTTTTGCTTTATAACAGATATCTTACAAATAACGCCATTCAAGCTATCACGGTGAAGATGTTTGGTGACAGTGGTTCGACGATACGAGCAATTCTGTAAGGATGGGAATTTTAAGTTGGAGGATGTTGAGTTTTTTGTTGTTGTTGTTGTTGTTGTGTTTATTTGTTTTCTTGTCTGCTTTTTGTTTTTGTTTCTTTTTTTAATAAATTATTGGATTCAAAGTAGGACCTTAACTCTACGAATGTCATTGAATAAAGATCTAGAATAGAGAACTTTAAAATAAAGCAAAAGTACAGCTCCGTGTCGACCTGCACGGTAATTTGCTTGCTGGATATTGCATATTAGCATAAATCTACTGGCGTTCGAGAAGCCCAGCAGTATCCAGTTGTTAACTAAATGGCAGCCACTTCTTTACATTTTCGAAGTGTCAGTGAGGCGGATTTAGATAACTTATAAACGACAAGTAGATTTATACTAAAACAATACTTTTAGTCACTCTTGATTTCTATGCGTGGCAGCTGACCTGCGCGCATTATATTGATTGATTTATGTGGCAGTTATGAAACATGTGTTATTGCTTTCCCTAAAATGCAGATCTATTCCAATTTTCTTTCCAGGGGCCTCACTAACAACGAAATCCAAACACTCCACGAAGATTCACTGAAAGGTGTGACAGTCAATGGACAAATGTAAGTATTTACTGAGTCCCAGTCCCTTTACCTCGTAAAAACAAGAATTATATCTTACCAGGAGCCATAATCGATTATGGCTCCTGATCTTACCAAGGAAACAAATAAAATTCAACGTTACGTCGCTGTTATTGTGCATTTGGTTTTCGCACTGTGACTTTTTTATCTTTCGCAAAGTAATCATACAGTTTCCAAAGCATCCAATGAACGACGGCTTGCAATTGAGTTGTCGGTTACGTTTACGTCCACTGCATTCCCAAACAACATGTATGAGGGATTTTGACGGTTTTCAAGGCTACGAGTATTCGATTAAATGAATGAATTAACTTAGCGTCCTCGTGAGCCTTCGCACAATCTCAACTATTCAGGCTCGAGTTTACACTTTTTTCTTAAGTCTGATGGCTTCCCGGAGTTTAGCTTCGCCATTCTAAGCAAACATTCATTTCCCTTGAATGATGTTCAGTTTACTTTGGGTCCATTTTCTCTCTATTTAGACGACTTAGAGACAACAAGCTGGTTTTGTTTCCTTCGAAGGCTCTGGAGAGGCAAGACCCAAGAGTTCTGTAAGAGGGATCTTAATATTAAACAATTACATCAATGATTCTACAACTGAATTAAACTATTAGACATTGCAGATGCAAAATGCAAACTAATCGACTGTGTAAAGGTCTGTTTTCGTGGTATTGTGGACGAAAGCTGCTGTTTATTGCGTTAATCAGTTGAATTAACGCGTGTGTGAATTTAAAGTTAAGAGACTCATTTACGGTGTCAGATTTCATCAAGATGATGGAAAATTGCTTACATTTTTTATGACAACGCTATAGACAGGTTCTCTATGGGTTCATTTATTTGGTGTTTTTACTCTCGTATCACCAATAAAACGGAGTGCAATGTTACGAAATAGGCCTCTTTTGATATATTATAATTCTAACATGAGTACAAGGCTTAGGGGAATGATACAGAAGAAATCATATCAAGGTTCAGAGATGAATATATGCTCTCTTTTGTTTTGTTATAAACTGCGTAGATTTCTACATGTATATAGTTTTTATTTGTTTATTTTCCAGGGAATTACGTAACAATCAGATCCCTTCCATTCCTGTTGGCTGGCTGGATTCTTTTAAGAATCTCAGGCAATTGTAAGAGCTAATTAACATTCACTCATTGACGGCGGAAAATCAGTAAAAACAGTTGCAAAAGACGTTTTTTCCCGTAGTTGCGAAATAAGTCTTCAAACGCTGAGGCCTTATTGGCTAAGCGTCATTTTCGCTTTCCTCTAGTTTTAGTTTTCCCCTAACTAGAGTTTTCTAGCAAGGTCTCAAGGCAAGGTCGATGCTCTCTTCTACTTTAGCTACTCACGTACACATATTTCACTCTGTTTGATGCTGAAAAGAGAGATCTGGAAGTATTACTTGCTTGCAGTTTCAATGGCTTTCAAACCATGACCTGATAAGGGAACAGTAGACTGCCGTCTAAGCCATCATTCCCATTGAGATGGACTCAAGAAAACGACTTGAAGTTTTATATAACCACCGTATTTAATGAGAACGGAAAGAGGACTTGCAGAACTGTTGAAATGAAAAGTACTAAAGGAACTAAATTGTGATTGTTCCACCTTCTTAATTGTTTCTTTGTGTTTTCTTTATAGGTTTCTTCCCGGTAATCTCATAACCACCTTAGGAGCCAACTTATTTAAAGAACTGAAAAACCTCAAAATATTGTAAGTCGTGTCACTGATCTGTTCACCTGACTTTATATACTTCAATTCGTTCAACTTTATTTTCCTTTACGGTCCGTTTCTTTGCTTTGCTTTGTTTGACTTTATTTCAACTTCGTGTTGCTCTGTTTTACTTAACTAAATATATGACGTAGCTTTACTCTATTTCACTTTGACTTGACTTTACGTCGCATCCATCAGCTCAAGTCGCTTCAGGCCACAGTAAAGGAGCTACATTAAACTCAGTAGATTTCAAAAAGGCTTTACTTTATTGTTATTGTTTGTTTCTGACAGAGAGTTACAAAAAAACCGGATCAGTGTGATTGAGCCAGGGGCTTTCAACAACCTTGTCAGTCTAGAACGATTGTAAGTAATAAACACCAACCGTAAAATCTCTTATTATGTCTTAAAAATTTCTAAAGCTTGAACAAAATATAGCATGAAACCCCGATAAAGCTGATGTTGGAAGGCGTGTCAAAATAAAGAGCTCTCTCTTAAATTCTAGACTAGAAGGCATTCTATGGCCTAACGAGGGCAAAACAAATCGCATGTGCCTAAAGTGTGCCTTTGTGATTTCCTTGCTCCATGAACATTTCTTCTTTAGTTCAGCACCATTTTTGATTCAAAAAGAAGTTCAAGCAAATCTTTCACACCATCGGACATTTATTTACATTGAAGATAAGGCTAATTGCCATTACGCAACCATAAACGTTAAATTTCTGTAAAATCGTTGCCAAATTGTTGTCTTTTTTATTGTTTTTTTTGGTTTTTGTTTGTTTTGTTGTTGTTGTTGTTGTTGTTATTATTGTTTTACTTTTTAACTTTTTCCATTATTTTGTCGATGCAGATATTTATATGACAACCAGATTGAATTTTTGCCAACCTTTCCCGAGCTAAAGAAGCTTCAAGATTTGTGAGTAAACTTTGCAATGATCACGATCGATAATAACAATGGGCTAGAGGCCATGAATGACCATGCGTATTATGCAGCTTAGTCCGTCTCGTGTAATCCTCCGGGTGGGGTACAGCTTTTGGTGACTGACGTTTCGACCAATTGGGCGAAAATCGNCCCTTTACACGCAACTCACGTAAGTGGAATAGTCAGTGGGCTATCGTTTAGGCACAACAAACTAGATGGCGGACGAAAGAAACCTTTTGGCGGCAAGTATAAGATTTTTATCACTCGTTCCGCTAGTCGCCGCTTTTCAGTTTCTGGTGCTATTATTTTGCACTCTACTAATTGAGCGTACTCACCAGAGGCAGTTAACGTTAACAGCTGCCTTGGAATATAACGCTGCTTTGCGGTCTTACGAGGCGAAACGATAGCCCGCCTAGAGGGGTGCCTCGGACATTTAGACAGGTATGAAAAGTTGGCTCTCTCAGGGTAGCTCGGTTAACTTAGGCTCCCTCCCTCCATGTAAACGATTGGTTTTCCATGCTGTCGTTGTCATGTCGTTGTCATGTCACTATCGTATGACTCTCACGTGACTGTCATTGTGTTCTAATTCCTCTATTACAGGAAACTTGCAGGAACAAATCAGTTCGCCTGTGACTGTAACGTCTACGACTCCATCGTGACCGTCATTGACACCTTAATTTCCTCAGAGGCTGCCGTCTGCCGGACTCCTTCACAAACAGCAGGGGCAAAATTCTACCCTGGGGGGTCTTACGAGTCATTTTACCGCCAGCGCTTTTTATGCAGTAAGATATCATTGATAAAACAAATATCTGTTAACAATTACAAGTTCACTTATATCTAGTGCCTCCACTGAACTGCTTTTTAAATAAATTCAAACGGAATTTCCAATTCCGAATGAAAATGCTTCTTATTAATTATATGTGATTTCTGTTGGTCAGCTGATGTTCTAGCGGTGTTCAGATAAATATCTTCNAGGCAAATACTCGCTATGAAACTTAATGTTAACTGACAAAACTGACAAAATCATAGCTTCGTTACAAACAAATATGACTTGTGGAAATTATTATTACAGGTGACAAACTAACGACATAAACTTTGATAACTGTTCAGCCTAACAGTTTTTCAAAGACCCATATCGCAATCCGTTTTAATCTTCTTCGATTTTTGTCCATTCCTACCTTTTATTGTATTTGCTGCGTTATTGAAATGTACATTCACAGTTTAAAGTTGATATTTTTATGTTACACTTCATGTAGTGGCCATTTTCTCATGTCTAAATTGGCTAAAATCCGTGAAGCGGTTCCACTAACAGCGAAAAAGGGATTCAGCTACAGATACATGGTCAGCAATCGCACGACTGCCCATTAAAAGGAGTTCATCACTTACCAATTCTTATTACTTTTTTTAGATTAAAAGTGTGAAGTACTCTGTCACGTGTTTAAGCGACGATGCTCCAACCTTGACAGGAACTTCAACAACGGAGTTCCTTCTGTTTACTCAAGCTGACGGCGTGAGGGCTGGGACCGACTATACGTGTCACGTGACCATGACAGTATCCGCTTACAATGGGACACACCTTGGAGGGGGGCCCCTGGGATCCTTGTGGACAAGGACGACGCCAAAAAGCGAAAAAACATCGATAACCACAGTAGAGGGCAAAGGTTGGTTGGTTCATTGATTCATTTTCATCCATTTATTTTATTCAGAACTCGGTAGAAAACTTCAGTAATTACAATAGTAGTCGTATCTATAACAAAATTCTCGATCTTGTTTGGTTCTTCGCGCGCCTGTTTGTCTTGTAATCAGGGCGCGATCACGTGGGTGTCCAGTTACAGGTATCCAATTTGAACTTTCGTAATTGGGCACCTGTAGTTGGATACCCACGTGATTCGCACGTCAATTACGCGCGCTTTCATGGCTTCCTTCGCACTATCTCAATCCTACAGTTTTCAAAACTTATGAATAGCGTTACAGTCGTTTTCGTTCAAAAGAAGTTCTCAAAAGACATTTTTTAGTTCCGAAATTTGTTATAGACGCGATTAAGTAGTAATTGGACCTCGTGTCGTATAATTCAGGGATTAATTGTGCTCGTGATTGTGCTCGTGATTGTGCTCGTAATTTGAAATTACTCGCGCGATTACTCCCTGAATTGCACTCCACTCGGTCCAATTACTATTACTAATACTCCAATTATAATTATACAATATTGTATTTACAAAATTTCCGAGTGAGAATCCTACGAATAAAACACGCGGTTGATTTGGATTTTAGTCTATAGTCTACTGGAGTTAAATTTTTGAATGCTGGGTTAGTCTAGCTGATGTATGCCAAAGGATCTGAAGCTGTTGCTGTGTCCTCTTTTTAAATTGAGAGATTATGTCAGTTAACATAAATTAATATTAGCTGGACAACAGATGGTTCAAATTTGCAAACATAGGCAAAGTAATTAAAAGTTTATGCCTCTCTATCGCATACCTGAAACTGTTCAGATTCAGTTAGAAAGTAACGAAACGTTTCAGCAAGGAAGTGCTGCTAAACTCAGGTATTCTTAACGTGCGCAACTTAGACATCAAACTCACTGTTTTGTTATCAAACAAGTTACACTACATTAAGATATGTCAGCTTCTCCCAAGTTGGATTTTCAAAACTAATTTTACAGCAATATTTGATTTATCAAAAATTATTGAGATTACAACAAATGATTAAGGCTTATAAAACAAGAAGGTCTTTGCAAAATGAATATCATATCAATGGCATTTTTTAGAGAAGTGAAGACGGGTTGGTTAGCAGTCAACTTGCAATATGTCAAGCACGCCCAGAGAGAAACAGAGGCATATCGCTAAATACGCCATTTCCTGGAAACATTCTGAGTGTTCACAGGATGTCCATTCACGTCCCTCTAATAGGTTCATTAACAAAATTACTTATTGTAAGAACTTTATCTTTAAAACTAATTCGCATTTCGGACCATTTCAGCTCCAGTAACTAACACGACTTCCAACAAGACAAACTATTTTGTGGATGTCACCTTTTACGATTTCAGGTAACACATTGTGGGAATACTGTTTAATTATTAGGAAGGTGGTTTTATTCAGCGACGGTGGTGAAAATTGTTTCATGTCAGCAGTGCGAGACAAAGAGCTCTTGTACGTATCAATGACTCATTCACAATTCGCCTAGAACATTCTGGGCTTAGTATTATCTCACAATCAGTTTTGAGATCGTTTTTGGGGACAATGTGACTTGTCTTATGTTTTGTGCCCAGTAACGGTCAATTGGTCACTCATCTCACTCGCTTGTTTTGAAAAACAAAGTCATTCCCAGGCGCTCGTCATTGTGGCTCGATCGTTGACTCGATCCTTTTGTAGAACTTTGTTCCAACTTCCATGAACGTTCAGAAACAGTCTGAATGAACTAAATCCAAAACTGGATTGGTTAAAACGAATGCTACCGATGTTAGTGGTACGAAAATATGAATATGGCCGATTTTCATGGCTAGCGAACGAAACAAGACTTACAATTAGCCTCCATCGTGGATTCACAAAAAGAATAAGTTTGGGAAAAGTGAAAGAGGCCGCTCTTTTCTGCTCTTTTTGGTTCCTCGCATTTCTCACCCTCTCGTGGTTTTCCCACTCGAAAGCTTTGCTACTTTGGCTGTTGCACACTGACTCAAATTGAACATATAGTTATATAATCTCTATCACTACGTTTTCTATAGTTTCATTTTTGTCTCTCCTTTCTTTTGTAGTTTGAATAAAGACTGTTGTTTCAAAAAGTCAAAGCAAAACAGTTTAGCTTTTATTCAAATTTTTTTAGACCTCAAGTTTATATCTCAGCTGTGAAACGTCAACTTCCTTTCAACAGAGTTAATAACACACTGAAAAATAATTCAACTGCGGAAACAGATTTAGGAGATAAGACTTTTACCGCACTTATGTGGTGAATCATTTGCGCGATATTTTCCAGGCACGCGCAATGATATGATATATCATTTATACAGATTTGTTTTTTAAATTTTTTTTCCTGATTTGGCTTGTTTGTTTTTAGAGCTGCTGACGGTGACTTTGTAGGAATCCCAAGTAATTACCGTGAAATGTACAACAGTCCAAGATACATTGCAAGCCCGTATACCAGTTGGCTAGCGGTATCTTCGAATCCAACTGGAGATAGCTTCTCTGATTGGTTCAGAGCAGAATCATCAAGAAACCAGCATTATGAAGGAAAACTGCAACTTAAGAAACAGTGGGAGACGGATGATAACGGCAATCCAGTGTTTCGGTATTTCGATGATAAATTCTTTCCAGTCGATGGCCGTGGATGGGGAGCTGAGGGACAGCGTGACTGTTACACCAACGCGCTCAGGAATTATGGGTACGTAAAATCTTCTTCTCAGAAGTACTTACTTTATTATTTGACTGAGAAAATTACTTCATTGTGATTGGCTGAGAGCAGGCCAATCGTTAATTTTTATTTTACGCTGTAATGCAAATCAAAGCGGACCCACGTTTTTTTTTTCAGTGTATATAAAAGATAAGTAATCGTTTGAAAGCTTGAGCAATTATGGATTAACACAACTCGTGATATTTTGAAAGTTCTTTCAGTCAAATTGCACTCGCCTACAGTTCAGAGGATTTTCAAACATCACCCGTAGTGTAAATCCCCTCGCATTCAAGCAAGTACCTAAACTAACGAAAAAAAAAAAACAGTGCAATAACTATGACCTAAGCCCGGAAGTAGCTGGGACTTCTTAACCGGATATTTTTTCAGTTTTACTGCAGCTGTTCGCACAGCGTTCAACTTCTCTGGTCAGGAAAATTTGGCTTTTGCTGGTGGCGAAGAATTATGGGTATTCATCAATGGCCAGCTTGTGGTAGAGGTTTTTCACAATCCTTTAAACAGCACGATACCATGTGCGACAATCAACTTATCTCCCGCCCTAAAAGGTAAGTCAAGAGCGCTGTAACAACCCATGTCAAGTATTTTTGAAACAGAGAGCTCTTGAACCAACTTCACTTATTTTACGACGCTTCAAGAATATATTTCTATTTTCAAAAGGTGGTCTCGTGCAGTAGACCTTGATTGTACAGTTACAATTTTACAAAAAGTGATTTGTTGATTCAAAGAATTTAAGTTTAAAGTGGAATTAAAATATAGCGCCATGTTATAGCTATCCAGCATAAATCAGATATTAGTAGCGCCTAACAAATTTTGACCAGTGAAATGGCATAACTAATCTAAGTATTTCAATTTTGTTCTTCTTTAAGGTAAAAGTATATTAGTTCCTAAGCATGGAGCTGTTGTCGGTGAAAAGTGTCATGAGTCAGGTTACCTGACATCTCAAGCATTCAACATGACTTTAAGAGTAAGTCGATACCATCCTTAGCCAGCGCTTAAAGTGTTCCAGTCTTCCTTGCTTTTGTAAAAATCACTATTGCTTTATGAAGTCTTGCTCAAACGCCAGCACGGTTGAGTTAGTTGTTGTCGGCTGAATTTTCTTATTCTTGACATCATAGGTTGGAGAGCTGTACCGTCTGGACGTGTTTATAGCTGAGCGGTTCAAGTGTGATTCCAATCTGCTATTGCAAACCAGCGGGACTCAATTTGTTCGACAGTGGGAAGAAACCCTCCCTATTGACTACATGGCTGATATCAGTGAAAATCTACACATTGGTGCATCAGTACAGGTATGATCTGACAGACATTGGAATAAATATAGAAAATTTATAATCATCGGATTTATAATCATCAGTTGTCGTAGGACTTGCACAAACAGGTGTGAACGAAGTTGCATTATTCAAATCCAATCAATGCTTAGGACCTAGTTCACCTTCATCGTAAAAGTAAATTATGAAATAAATTACGAAGTAGACTCGCATGAATTTTTACCTTCGTAGTATATACGAAGAATTAGTTAACATTTTGTCGTTTGATTGTATTCAGTTGTAATTTGTATCATATTCTAATGTATTTTTTCATAATCAAATTTTATTTTTTTCTATCAAGATTTTATTGTAATTTTAGATAATTAACACTGAAAAGCCTTATTGGAAAGTGTTAATAAATTTGTACTGTATTGTATTGGCGGTATCTTGATCGTAACGTGCTCCTTATTGAATCATGGCAGACAGTCAAAGTTAACCTCACTTACCATTTTTGATGCAGGAGTTTGAAGTCTCAGATGCCTTCTCCTCGGGACCTTACAAAGTCGAAATTTTTTCAGGCAATGAACAACGTACATTCGACATCAAGGAGGGGACATACTCTTCACCCTCCCCTCCCACTACAGCAGCTCCTCCTTCGTTTGTATTGGATAATGAGATAATTTTTTTCTGTCCAAATGAAACCGTTAACGNTTATACCCAGTAGAGAGGAACTGAAACGCTAGCCTACTACTAACATTTTGACTGTAAATACCTACAGCTTAACTACCAGCTGTAGCTGTTCTCGTTTGTGTTTAAAAAAAGCTTTAAAAATGCATATGCCGGATGATCCACCTAGTCTTTCTCTCCCTTCTCAAACTTTTCACTAGACAGTTTATAAGGTAGACTGCTGGATAGAAAATCGGAGATGTCTTTTCAGAAAGATCGTAAACCGAAATATTTACGGGAAAAGAGAGAACGATATGAGTTTTTGAACATCGATGGGTGACACAAAAAATGTTGTCTGTAAGAACGGAGCTAAAACCGACTAGCACATCAACTTGCCATCGCCTGAGCTGACCATCAACAAAATTGCTCGAAATTCAATTTTATCTCCACCTTAATATTTACATTGTTAACTGGCAAACAGACGCCTAACATTTGCTCCTTAATCTTATCACAGTCCTCGCATCGAAGCTACGTTGTTCGCGATCAAGAATGGTACCGAGTTCATCTGGAGTAACAAGACTATTGAGTGGACCTACAAATATTACATCTTTGCTGTGGATGGAGGAACTCCAAAACGAGGCGACAGGATACCGCTAACCATAACCTTCAACGCCACATGTCAAGAGTCAGGGGGAATATTTGTGAATGCGACGAGTGGAGAAGTGTTCTTCCGGGCTCCTGGCATGACAGGATCTGAATATCGTGAGTCCTCAACAACAACAATTTATGCTTTTGATCTGTAGCTGTAAATGAAGGCATATATCATGCAATAAGTTTAGAGTAAGGGCGAAATTAATTTTGCTCAACGGTTAGTATTGAGTACGTTATATTGTATAAAAATACTCCCGCAGTTCTTAGATTTACGTCATATAGGAAAACTCAATCACAAACTTATTAATTCTTGTGCTTTATTATTTTAGCCAGGAATTCAACTACAAAACCTAAATGTCGTCGCTGTAGGACTGGGTACTACTGTGTAGGCGACGGAACAGAAGAAAAATGTGGAGTGACGTCACCAACGGAATTTTCATTTGGAGGAGCAACAAACTGCAGTGCGTGCTGGGAAGGCTGGGTATGAACAGGAGTCTGTGAATTGTTCTTTGCTTTTACCGTGTAGCAATAAATTTTATCGGGAGTTTAATTTTGGAAGAACTAGTTTTTGCGATCGTGAAAGACTGGTTTTTCTTGCTGGCTATTAATTTTTGCGATTTTCAGGAAGTCGCGCTTTGTTGAATACCACGTGTATATGACAAATATTTGTTATTTGTTTTATGAAATCTACAAGATGATGATGTTAGAGTCATGTTAATATCGTGGTTTTTCATTTTTTTTCTTGTGCGTGTGCAATTTATTTTCCAGTTATGCCATAACGGTACTACATTACCTTGTCCGCCAAACACTTACGTCAAATGTAACACAACAGTAAGTAAATGACATGTATTTATTGCCGTAACGTAACGTTAGATGGTAATTCTCAACTCTCAAAGTACAGTTCTGGAGTATAATGTAACGTCACGTAATGTAACACACCGTAATGTGATGTGACATTTGTAACGTAACGTAATGGGACGTAATGTAATTTACAGTAAGGTAAGGTTACTAGTACAACTACAGTATATTTACATAAAAACTAAAAGCTTCAATATCTACAATTTACAATGTCATTCAGTAGCAGATGAATCTTGTTGCAAACAATTTGTCGACTTAATTATTACATTATGGTTCTCAATTTAGTGGTGTCCAGAGAAATGCTTTCCCTGTGAGCCTGGCACAGTTTGTAAAGCAGGAAGGCAGTATGAATGTCGTCCAGGGACATACAGTGATGGAACTGGTGAGCTCTAATGACTGTTCTGGTAGCATGTGTCGTTTCTGAAATTTCTAATAGCTTCTTTTATCATTTCTTCTTTTTTACAGGTTTTCCTTGTAAGATATGTCCCCCTGGGAGTTACAACAATGTAACACGAGCGGAGACTTGCTATTGTTGTAAGTCTGGTTACAGTAGTACTTACATGAAGACATCGTGCCGCGCGTGCCCCGCTAATGAGTACGCTGACCAAGGAGAATTCCCTAACTGCACACTCTGCCGGACGTGCTTCACGAAAGCGTCATGTAAGTTGCACGAAATGTACCTTGGACATTTCAGTATAATTCATGCATCTGTTTGTGTTGACAATACAATTTACACCGAGGACGGGTTTTTTTTAACACAATCCTTTTTTTTAATCAGAGATACTTTAAAATCAAGTACGTAAGCCACAAGTGCTTAGTTTTAGACCAAGACGTTTGGATAAAAAAGAGAAAAGACTCCACAAAGCTCCTCAAAATTGATCTTGTTGGATGCACTCATTTTCTTTTTCTTTTTTTACGAGGCAAAATACTTACAATACAATGCTTACATTCCCTACATCAGTAATAGTTACACGAAACATCCTACACACAATTACGTTACATTCCTTACTTTACAGTACTTACACCGCAGTTGCAGTACAACTTTTTTTTTATAACCAGTGTTATGTTTTCCAGAGCATTGATCTGCGCTTTAGCTACAATACTATGAGGTATTTTTTAAACCAATAACCAATGGCAAGAACCTATAGGTTCAGCTTCAAAAATAATCAAAACCTGCAGAATAACCAGGATACTGTCATCTCCTTAGAAATAACATTCTTTATTCAAATTGCAGTTAAACTTGTTGTTGTTTGATCCAAAAACGTCTGTTAAAGGAACGCAGGGCGACGTTTCAACATGCTGTTGTTGGTGAAATTGTTATTTTGCTGGTTTTGATAAATAGGTCCATGCATGGGGGAGCCTTGTTTTCCTTCCGTGGAATGCCATAATGTCGGAAATGGATCATTCGAGTGTGAATCCTGCCCTGATGGATTCGAAGGAGATGGAAGATCGTGCACTGATATTGATGAGGTAACGCTCTAACATTAGAACAATACAGTGTGCTCGGTTTCATTCATCAACATTGCTGCCTCGTGTTAGGCAGCATGAAAAAAGGTGTTGTTCTAAATGTTACTGGGCAAATAGATTCCATGTTGCCGTGCGTCTGTACGGTAATTGATAACAGATCTCGTCGAAAGGTGGTAGGAACAACAATGTGGCACACGAGGCGATAGCCGAGTGTGTCACTGATGTTCTTACCACATTGTGACGTCTTCTGTGACCAGTTACTGAACAGAAGCACGGCAACATGGAATCTATTTGTTTTATATAATAAAGAAACGAGGAAAAAATGTTTATGACGTCGTCTATGTGTCTATCCTCTAATTGATCATAAGTTAGGACCAGTCAAAATGCGAGAATAATTGGACATATTATATAACCATTTATTGACTGTCAATCTGCATGACCAACCGCCTGACTGACTGACTGGCCTGCTGGCGGACTTGCTGCCTGTTCGTCTGGCTGATTGACTAACCGACTGACTGTCTTACCAACCAGACAGTTAGAGCGGTTTTCAATTGGGTGTCGTAAAACCAAAGCCAAACCAATTACTTACCAATTAGACTACTCAGCCAATCTCAAACCGTAGTAAAACCAAAACCAAAACCATAAGTATTTGTCTAATTACTTTCGACACTCAAATGAAAACCGCTCTAAGCCTACTTATATTATTTGTATTTCTCTTGTTTTGCTTTTATCACTTTACCTTCCTACTCTTAACTAAAGAGCTTTCATTTCCTTGCTAGTGCGCCCTGGCAAACCCATGTTACGACACCAATGAATGCGTCAACCTCTCTCCTGGGTACCGTTGTGGAGGGTGTCCAGACGGGTACCGCGGTAATGCTCCTTCAGGTGTGGGCTTAGAGCATGCGCAGAAGTACAAACAAAAATGTGAGGAAATAGATGAGTGTACTGAGGGAATCGACACTTGTGATCCAAACTCAAACTGCATCAATACACTGGTAAATATGTTATCAACTGTTAATATGTTGAATGTTTAAATATTATCCGCTTTGTTTGGACATCCAATAGTTTCAGACTACATCTCGAGATATATCAAGCTGGGACTTTGCACGTGTTGCCTAACTAATGTTTTTTAGATAACCAAAAAAGTTAAATTGCAAGAAAGTTAACGCTTTCGATTTTCAGGACTGGCTAGTTCACTTCATTATTTTGGAGTTGCATTGTATTTGGAGGGCCGTAGCTAATAAGAGGCAAAATGACGCTCTTGCCTCAGTCATTTTTTTCGTTTTTGTTGTTCATAGTCATTTTAAACGCCCTAAATACCCTGGATAAGAATTTAACCGTGGACATTGCCTTAGTCACAATTTTTTGCGGGGTACGCCCCTGATAGATAATGGGTTTTTGTTTTGGTTTTATTATTATCTTATTTTCCTTATTTTAATTAATGAATTTTTGGTAATAGTGTGCGATAGTGAAATATGTCTGTAAATAGTGTCAATTAATAAAAAATCTGAATCTGAATCTGATTTGACGTAGAGCAAAAAGATGGATAATTCGATGTCGGAAACTTGGTCATCAATGAAGTTTTCTCTGCTATTTTTAAGGGTAGTTTCAAGTGCAGCCCTTGTAAACCAGGCTTTATTGGTGATGGTTATCTGGGATGTTACCCTGGTGACCTGTGCGCCAGTGCACAGCATACCTGCCAAGTCAATGCACAATGTTCTTCTACAGGAGCCGGAAAATACAAGTGCACGGTATAGGCATTATATGATGTCGGGTTTTGAACGTGTTTAACAAACTAGCTAATGGCGTATCTCAGTTGAGATAGACAAACGCAGATGTAGGTCACCATTACCTAGCATTCGGCAAACGCGTACACGGGAAAGGCCAAAACAGTGATTTAGGACACGAAAAACAGTGCACGCCTTAGAACTTAAACTTTACAAATACTACTGCAGAGGAAGCTACCATAGCACACCTATCATGATAGGTTTTGCGGAATCGACGGACAGGCTAGCTGGCTCTTTGTTTTCGGTCTCTAGAATATGATCTGTCTGGGGGGATGAGTCAGGCCTGTTTTTAGTTGAGAAAAATGTGAAAGAGAGTTAAACGCTTCTGTCAATGTTTAGAGGCACTTATTTCAGGATGTCCTGCATATTGGCTAAATATACTTGATAATTGATAAATGATAATAAATATACTTAATATCTTGATAATTTCGATTCCCCTTGTTTGAGCTATGGCTGCTATTCCGTCCTACAGTGCAGATATGGTTTTGCTGGTGATGGAGAAGAGTGTCAGCTGGATCCCGACTTGGACGCAATTCCTGTCGAAGGACTCAGCTGCACCTTACCAAACTGTAGAAAGGTCAGTTCAAGTGCCCGCCACTTCATCTTGATGCTGTCCTCTCGTTCAAATACTTCCACATCTACATATCAGTTTATAATTTCCTGCTTTGTCATGAGATAATTTGTGGTATTTGCCTTGCAGGATAACTGTCCAAGTGTGCCTAACACGGGTCAGGAGGATAATGATGGTGACACAGACGGAGACGCATGTGACGAGGATGACGATAATGACTTGATTCCTGATAAACAGGTTTGTAGCACTCCAATCATTGTAAATCTCGAGCTGAACGAGGATGAGCTTTGTCGAGAGTTCAAGAGAGTTGAACTGTGACCGAATTTCACTCAAGCAAAACCAAACAAGGATGAAAGTTCAGGAGCTCGAGATTTGTCAAAAATCAGCACTGGGTGAGCAAAAACTCTCTTCCACTGGCATTTGAATTTCAGCAGGTTAAGATTGGAACTAGTAGCCGAGAGTTGCCCGATGACAGTCGATGAGAGAATATTACAAAAAAAAGTGTAAGGATTTGCTAACGTACTTTTTGTCCATATCATCCAACACATTGTGTTTTTCATACTATCACTTGGTAAGAATCGTAGATCACGAGAAAAAAAGCATAATGGTTAAGATCTCAAAGAGCACTCAATCCAAATTCAGATTTCACATACACATTAATCATAGAAAATGTATGCGCAAAGTCAAGAAACGTTTGAAAACCTTACTCTCTTAATGTTGAAGCTCGCAGGTAACGAGTAGTGTAAATTTTCCTACCATTCAAACAAATGAAGTCCGAAACACTTTTGCATGAAAATAGCTGATCCCTAGGCTTATTATGAAATGTTCTACACTAGGATAACTGCATCTTTGTGAAGAATCTTGACCAAGAAGACGGGGACAAAGATGGTCTGGGTGACGCTTGTGATAACTGTGTGTCTGTCTCTAATCCAGACCAGACAGACACTGATGGAGACGGCATTGGAGATGAATGTGACGATGATCAAGATGGCGACGGTAAATGAAAGAAAATGATGGGAAGCCAAATTTTGGTCCAACAGATTTAAGCCCTAGCCAAACGGACTCGCAAGTAGGCGCTAGTTGAAAACTTGGGTCTGCTTGCGGGTCCATTTGACTAAAATTAAACGAGAAGCCTTGAGATGGTTTTGCGACTTGCATGTTTTTGCCAGGAAACGTGCGACTCTGTTTGGCCACCTAACTTCCGGCTAATTGCGACTACTTCTGAGTCCATTTGGCCAGTGCTTAAGATTTGCGTTATCAATATGAACTCAGTTAGTTTACGTGGCTCAAAAAAAGCCACGATCCCACATCCGAGTCACATCTTTTAGCCTGGAAAAGGTCCCATGACATTATGACAGGAATCTCAGGCTTGATCCTTATTCTGCAGGGATATTGAATGCCAATGATACATGTCCCAAGTTAAACGCTGCAGGAGACCAAGAGGATGACGACAGGGACAACGTGGGAAACTTGTGTGATAACTGCCCTGGAGATTACAACCCCTTAAAAAATGGCGCACAGGTATGGCCATAAAATAATCACACTCGATGATGACGCAACGTAAACAAATGATACGAATATTAAACAATTATTGGACGAGGTTGAGCAAAATGTCGAGATTTGTCAGTGGCGAACAGAGACTGAAGCAAATAATTGATCTGCGAGACACTAACAAATCACTATATTTTGCGATAACCGAGTTCAATAATTGTTTTATTATTCGATCACCAAGCCAGTTTCAATATCTAAATCACTCTCTGACAGCTCAAGGAAGCGATTTCCCATATTTCACACCTACGTGGATACAATTACGCATGAGCAGAATATTATTTGCAGTTAATTTGCAGGTCACGTGGTGGTCTCTCGGCTGATGAAAATGAAGGAAAAAATCATTAGCTGAACATATCTTTTAACAGCCTCTACTAGTCACATAAGTGAAAAAATCGAGAAGAACACAAAGAATAAAAGAAAGCGGAGGAAAAATAAGACTGACATTCCTTTGAATTTTGAATTTTTTATTTTGGAAAGAAAAACGCTTGGTCGGGCGCTTGAGCGGGTCTCAAGTTATTCAACTCGGGCAAGCCACTCCTTAACAGTTTCGCGCTTCAGTCCTCGCTACATGAAAGATTNGAAACATCAGCGGTTTTCAGGCAAGGTGTATGCATTAGGTTCGGCACATGAAAAGTTCGACGTCTGAATCAAAGCCGTTCCAAAGCCGAAATTCCCGGCGGGAAGAACGGCTGAGCCGTTCCAAATTCAAATAGCCGTTTTTAACTGATTCAGAAGCCGAACATTTCATGTACTTAATTCAACGTATTAGGTTCGGCTCATGAAAAGTTTGACGTCTGAACTGGGCCTTACTACACCCCCAGAATTGGATGCTGGAACGAGTCTTTCACAGTAAAATTCCCCGTATACACTCCGTCGAGTTACTTCACAAGTTGTACGGATTCATTTATACTTATGGGAGCAAATATTCTTCTCAAGAACACAACATGGAATCGAACCAGGCCAGCACTCGAACCCAACTTGATTTCCCATCGCACGAACTCAATAGGCCACAGTCCTTAAGCACTGTACTACTGACCGGGTACTGACTAATAAACGGACGGGTTACTGAACATTGAAGGCAGTTATGAATGAGTGTTTTGCTGTTTGCAGAGACGGAGATGGAGTCCTTGACGAGTTCGACAACTGTCCTGATTTACCAAATGGTGAACAAGGAGATGCCGACGGAGATAAGAATGGTAAGATGTGAATCCGTGCCATCATGAAGTGAAATGAATGTTGTTTGCTCTTTAATATCAGCCTGCCTCAACTGGGAACTACGGAGGGAAGATAATTGGTAGTATTCACGCGTCTTCAGCTACAAGATTATGATTTGCATTTATGAAATACCTTGTTTTATCGCGATCTGTTGTTAGAATATGGCCTACTACGTACTGTTTATTCTTTATGCGATGGTAATACATTCCACAATAACCAGCATTTATTACCAGATCGAACGGAAGAGTTATTTACACTTGCAAGACTAGAAAAGAATTAACTAACGTTGCGTATGTAGCTAATCTATATTGGCAAAAACAATTGCAAAGTTTCAGTGACCTGTGCGTTAAATTATAGGGAGTGACTCCACAGAATAAAATAAGCTATACTAATCATATGTCTTACAAGGCGATGCGTGTGATGACGATCAAGATAATGATGGGATACCCAACATACGGGACAATTGTGCCATGGTCAGCAATCCTCTGCAGGAACACGACAAGCTATCCTATGACGTCAAAGGTATGCAACAGGAGATTCTTCAGTTTCTAGGGAAACAAAATTGGATGGCGGGAAATGGTTTGAGTAATGAGGAGTGAGGTCGTAGTCATACATGTATGTATTACAGTTGCAAAGATAGCATTTTACACCGCCTTTTACAACGCTTACAGTCATATTTTCCAGCCTCATCTCACAAGGTTTATAGTATTTCGACCATTTATTGAGACAAATGAAAAGAGATCCATAAAGATGAAAACAGCTTTCCACGGAATGTTTGCTTTGTCCGATTTTGTTACTGCTGTTGTTGTTGCTTTTTTTCGTTGTCTAGATTAGAGCAAATGCCAACGCATTGTAAAGACTCCTAGTAAACATTCTAGTACATACTGCAATCCTCTACAACGATTCTGTCGCTTCATATTTGAGCTATCTGCTAATATTGTTCATCACTGCATGGGAAGGGAAGGAGCAGGGTCCCAGATACGTCATTCGTTGTATTGCAACATACCGTTATTAACTTAAATTGATACATATGGGTGACAAGATTATCCTTATGGTAAATTTTACCCAACTTCAGCTAATCCCGTGGGTGACGCATGCGTGGATGACTACGATGGTGATGGTGTCACGGATGTTGATGACGCATGTCCTCGTGTGAAACACATCAGTAAAACAAGCTTCCTAGATTATTTTACTGTGGATCTTTATCCAGGACACAGCGATCCCAAGCCGGAATGGAGAGTGGCGAAAATGGTAAAGCGTGTAAAATCTAAGAGGGCTTCGGAAAAAAAACATAAGAACATTTTGCGCTTTCTTTTACTTCTTTAATCGTAGATATGGTGACTTTGGAGTCCATAATTTTCAATCCTTGATTTTTGGAACCTCCAGAAGCCATTGTTTGCGCCCCTTGCTTTGAAATAAGGAATTATTTTACCGTCGATTTTTTGAGCCTCCCGGTTTTCTGGACCAATTTTCGTTCCCCTTGGTGGTTCGAAAAATGGAGTTTATATACAGTATAATTAGACTGCCTTCGAAATCGNGAAATACCTTTATGTTGCAAAACATTTGTTCTGTACAACATGGTCACAGATCACAAATGGGAAATCTACAGCCCGTTATCGAGAGGAGGCCACCATCACTCACAATTTCAACTCGATCATGACAGAAAACCAGAAAACTTTGGCGATTAAACTCATACCAGTCTATTGTTAATTAGTATAAATCTACTGACGTTCTATCACGAATGTCGTTCTCTGATTGGCTACGCTACCCACTGTCTATTCTGTGATAGATAGTGAGTAGCGTAGCAGCGTGCCCTTGTTAACAAAATGACGACCGCTTCTTGGCGTTTTCGACGTGTCTGTGAAGAAATTTAGATAAAGTTTTGAACGACAAGTAGATTTATACTAAAACAATTAGATTATTCGCTCTCGATTTCCATGCGTGATAGTTGACTCGGGCTGCGCCCTCGTGAACTATCACGCGATAGAAATCTCGAGCTCATAATCTAATTGCTTAATAGAAGAAGTAAGATTTCTACACGTTTGATATAGCTTGATCGGAGTATTTTTTTGTTGGTTTAGGTTGTAGACTCAAATACCGGACCAGGCCAGAATTTGGCCAAAGCGTTGTGGCATTCAGGCGATACAGCAAACGAGGTAAATGATAAAAAAAAAAAACGTGACGCATCGATAATGCACGACTTATTTGTTAATTACCACAATTAACCAATGTTTGTTTTTTTCTTTAGGTCACGCTGTTATGGGATGATCCAAATATGAAAGGGTGGCAGCATCAGACTTCGTATGGCTTCCACATTACTCACAGACCGTCCATTGGGCTAATAAGGTCAGATATCGGCATTTATTACATGACTTGTTGGCGGTGCAGCCAATCAGGGAGCTAGGCAAATATCGTCAAAGTTAAAAGGAAATTATCTTACTCAGCACTTCTCCTGTTTACTTGATCTTGATTACTTTTTCAGAGTTCAAATCAAGCAGGGAGAGAAAATTTTAACGGATTCTGGAAACATCTACAACACGGCACTGACCGGTGGAAGACTGGGCATGTTTGTGTTCGGTCAGCATGATGTTATTTGGTCCAGACTTGAAGCACGTTGTTCTGACAGGTACGTTCTTGTGATTAGTTGGTTTCCGCATAGGAACAAATGTAAGGACACGGGTTAACATCTCAGGTTGTGGTATTTTTCTAGTGAATTCACCATATAGTTCATTGGCTTGCTGTAACGAACAGTGCTCTCTGCAGGGAGCTTAAGCAACGACGACGACGGCGCCGAGGACAACGCCTAGTAAAAAATGAATTGATATTTTACCAGCAGAGTTCGCGATTGTGTAGGTCTGTTCGGTACGCCAATGGCTCTAAAAACCTGCTCAGGCTAAAAATGCAATGACAGCTTTCAACTTCAATCGGAAATACGAAAAATTAGCCGTCGTCGTCCACGTTCTGTAGACGGCGCAGAACTTGGTCATTTCACGTTGTTGTTTTGCAGAGGACGGCAAAGAAATGTACAAAGATTTATAACGCACGTGTACAGCTATTGTTTTGCTCATTAAAGCTTTTGTTTAGTGACGTTCTCGTTGCCGTCGTCGGGGTGGTTTGCTTAAGCTCCCTGCTAAAGGAGCTGCGTAACGGTTTGTTCATCTTGAAAAGTTAAGCCTAAATTTTTCAAGTTCTTCGTTTGTAATCCGTGTTAATCTTCTCCATCCATAACCATCCTTGTTACGCTATGGTTTTTATTATCTTTTTGATGTTTTTCTATCTTAGTAAACTGTTATTTCCTGTTCTACTTCGATTTAAAAGTGTTGAATTTTGTACGTGGCCAGCATAACTCAAATTGTCGTGACTGAACTTAAGACTTTACAAGAAAATGACACTCAGTTTAAACAGGCATAGTTAAACTTAACCGTTTATCATTCTGTTTAAAGTCGTTAAGGCTGTAGTCAAATTAGACATCTCATAACACGCTGCTATTACTACACGTCTCGTCTACTTGTCAGTTGGAACTTATACGAGGCATTCAAGTCCCCGCATTATCAGAATTATAACCACATAATTACATAAACTCTTTGTTTGCGTTTTTCAGCAAATGGCTTAACACATTTTAGGGCATTCAGGTTATAAGGGGTTGTATTTTGTTTATTTTTATTAAAGCTTCATATTTTTCCTCTTTTTTATTCTAGAATAAACCAGGCCCTAATGTTTGATGGAGTAGACGATCACGTGACATTACCATCTATTCACACTTTAGGCTTAACAGACAGGTGTGTAAGTTAAATTCCGTGTTACTTTTCACGTGTTCTGGAATGTTCTGATCTTGCTGTTCTTTCTTGCAGCTATTTCTCACTTTCCAAAAAATAATTCGATAAGTTAAATTTTCTTCTTGTGTAGCTTTACCATCAGTGTGTGGGTGTACATGGCAGCGGACTATCCCATGACAGTCATGCCTATCTTGTGCAGTAATGACGGAACACTCTGTTTATATCTTAATGACAGGCAAGTATTGAATGCGGTTTACTGCTGATTTTCTTGAAACTAAAATCAAATCAATCCAGGAGACCAAACTTAGGGTCCTTCATTAGGGTAACAAAATTAATATTACATGCCAGTAAACCAATCAGAATTCGAAGTAAAGAACGAAACTATTAACCAATTAAAGCGGGGAGATTTGCGTCAGCCAAATCGTGATTGTTCAACCTCGTTCCCAGTGCTTTTCCCGTCCCTCCCAATCTCTAAGGGAAATGCCCTGGGAACGAGGTTAATGATTGTTTTGCTTCGCTGCAACTGACTCCTCAACAAGACAATATCTCGATTTTGATTGGTTAGANATTTGGTATTAAATAACCCTGGCTTACTGAACAGACCGTAAAAGTTTACAAAAAGAAAAGCGACGTAAAAGAAGAATTAACATTACGTGAAATCCGACTGAATTTTTTGTGAAACCAATACATATAACTTTGTTGCTCATTGTAGTAGATAAGCTCCACCAGTCACGAATCGAGCGTCCTTGTTGCAAAGACCCCTGGGTGAAAGACGCTTTTAATAAGCCGGCGTAACTTCTTAACGTAACGAAAGTAGTCAAGAACGTGTTGATGCAATAACTGCCTATTTTCATATTTTTTAGAGCATCAAATCGAAGTTTTCGTGAACGGATCTTCGGTTGGAAAACAGCTCGACACCACACCTTATTACTGGGTAAGAAGAGGAACACGCTCGTTCTCTTGGTAATGTTGCTTAGCAGATAGGTTCGATGATCTCTTATGACTCTCTTTCTCCCTCTATATCAGCCTCCTGATGTCAAACTTTTCATCGGAAGTGATCAAAGGCACTTTTTAAATGGAACAATCGACGACGTAAGTAGTTAATGTTGACCAATGTAGAGTTAAAGTAATAAGTCTTCAGATAGTAATTCATGCTTTCGTAATTAAGCTAACGTCAAAGAAATCCCAACTTGAAGAAACTTAGTCAGTGCAATGTGCGGAATAAGTCGGGTCATTCTAAAATCCAGGTTTTTTGTTACGTGTAATTTTTAGACCGCAGCGATAAGCCGAAAAAATACCTTCACTATTTTGACAGCAAGCTGCACTCTCCTCGACTAACTTTACGAACTAATTATAGAGAGTAGTAAATGCAAAACCAAAAATGGACCAGTTAAAAACAACTTAAAACTACTCCAAATAAAGTGATATATGCGTTAAGTTGCACTCAAGTTTGTTCCCAAGTACCATGTTTGAAGTTTTCACCTATGATGGTTTTGCTGAAGGTAACTTTTCCGCCGTCATGTATGGTTACACTGAAAATAGACAGAATTGCAATAACTTTCATGCTTCTACAAATTGCGATAAAGACTGCTTTTAATTGAACGCTTTGATGGCTAAACTTTTGATTTCCATAAACATTCAGGATTCTCTGTCCTAGTTTCCAACTTCCTGAGGTACAGCAGCAGAACGTGCGACCAGCTGGCGAAGAGCCATGGGTTCAACTTTTATTTTTCTGAAAAAACTTGGATCCCTTTTTCGACCAGCAATTCAACTCTTGTCACTGGCCGGTGAAAATCTTTCTCAATTATCAAATATGTTTGAAAATTTCATGAACATTTTCTGCCCTTCTGGTGGCTAGTCAATCCCCGTGATTAATTTTCTGTTCCTCGCAGAGCAGGTATTGACATTCGATTTATTTCACACCAGTTAACATTATGGGGAGTGCAAGTTCCAGACAGTGAAATTATCGACTACATGAAGCTAGCAGGATTGACGTGGCCGATCCACAAGGGCCTGGTGCGAGCGCATTTCAACATGGAAGACACTTCCGGATCTGTTATCGTAAGCCAAGAAGGAAATGGTTTCCATGGTAATCTCGTTGGAAGGCCTGTCTTCGTTCCTGTAAGTAACAAGTTATAATATCTATGGGAGGCAGCGTGACGGGGTGGTTAGGGCGCCGGACTTGAAATCCGGAGGTCGCGGGTTCAAGTCCCGCTCTGACCACTTAGCTGGAATTGTTTCTCGGTAGACCCTAGTTCAACTACTCGGTGATGCTTGTAAATAGCCAACTGGTCTGCCTCACAAGGCTATTATGTTTAGCTGATGATGTATTTGTTTCTTTCAGTGTAAGTGGCATGCCCGTGAACTAACTAGGTGTAGCTAAACGCGTTGACCACTATAAACAACATCATTTGAACATTTTTTTGTTTTGTTTTTTTGGAGTGGGGGGAGGAATTTGCTGCGCACGTCGAATAACCCGCTCGCAAATGACCGAAGTTCTCGTCTTTAAGTAATAGACTGCCGGGTTGCGATAATTTCTGCCTCCATGATGTCAAGAGAGGGACAACACCAATAAGTTATTTAACCGCCCTGTTTGTTAAGAAACTGTGGACCTATTTGCTTCATCATTTCTTCTCAAGCACAAAATTAGTGAAGAAGATAGTTTGACACAAAAAACGAACAATAAATGGAACAGCCGTCAGTAGGAGTACATTGTTTATGTTTCATTGTGTTAGGTTACCATCCTGAAGATGGGACAAGTGACCTTATCCGGCGAGAGTTTCAAAGCTTTCCCATGAAAAAAGTAAAGCCCATTTACTTTTGGTCATGCTTATGATTTGCCACCATACATTTCCTAACGGGCAGCGTCCACACTAGGCCGGAGAAATATGAAAACGCAGCTTTATTTCCACCGTTAACCTACTGTCCACACTAATCCGCCACGCAAACGGAGCTTTTCGAAAACGCTATTCAAACCGGAAGAATTTGAAAGGTCGGCTTTTCGTTTTCGTGTGGACGGAAAACATTTTGGAAATGGGGCTTTTCGAAAACGATGCTATCACATTAATCATTTGTTTTTGCCCGCCCCAGTTTTCCTCGATCAAACACAAATCCAAGATGGCCGGTGATTGTAGCGTTCTTAAATTCCTTCGGCGTAGTTTGGACGGAAAACATTTGATCCGTTTTCAGAGTAAAACCTCCTTTTTGTAACCTGCGGAACAGGCGGATTGCAAGCTACCTTTTTCAAACTCCTCCGGGGTAATGTGGACGGGACCTAAGTGAGGGTTAAGTCTCTTCGCGTTGTTAATCTTTTGTTCCTTTTTCTTATTTTTAATTACAGAGCACTGTGGACAAGAATCGTTTCGTGATTTCGTATCCAAACAATCGTCGAAGGAGAAGCATTCAAAGTTCTTTGTTCAGTTCCTGGGCCAAGAGACATTCAGAACTTTAAAGGCTTTGGCTTCTGGCCAAGAGAAACATAGTTATAAAGTTCAACAGTGAAACCGGCAAACAAGCGGGCAGAACAGTGTTTAAGAGCTGAGCAACAAACAGACAAACAAGCAGACCTTTGGGAATGCTATGCTCAGCGCTGTCAGGACTTGGAAGAAAAACATCTACGTTCACTTTTGTATTTAAGATGATATTTATGTTAAGTTGTATGAGTTATTCTACATTCCCACCAGGAATCATTTTCCTTTTTTATACGCTCAGCATTCGTCCACTTTGTCTCTT